ATATATATGAATTTTTGAACTGATGACTATCATTAGTACCTCACAATTTTAAGAAAATCCTAGCGATAAATTTGGAGGACTAACATGAGTACTTCGAAAAGAAATTTTTGCAAATTTTATATTTTATAACGAGAAAAAACAAGAAAGTATACGTGTGACTGAAAATGGTACCTAATATTAATTTTTGTTTTATCGTTTATTTAAAAAATAAAACAGCCAGCTATGTAATCAGAATGTCGTGGATAAAGTTCGAAGCTGATTTTTGAGCTTAAGATTTGTACTTATATAATATTTTTTTTTAATTGTGGAGTTTACATCTTGAAATGCTTTCAGATGAATCATAAGTAGACACGATATTTGTTTTAAATCTGAAAGACACCTAACTATTACGCACAGTCTTATCAGTTCTTCACGATAATTCTTGAATCATCACAAAGCAGTATTTCAAAAGAAAGAACTCAAATTATCGTTAATGTGTTTTATAGGAATTACCGTTTACCATTATTTTGTTATCTATTGTTCAAGTCTAACAAAAAGTATTTACATGAAAAAGTATTTGCATTTTTTTTAAAATTGAACTTGTTTTATTTAAAAAAGGATTTATTCTATCTTTTTCCGGAGTTGTTTATTAGCTTTGTAAGCTGTTTTTTTTTGTTATAATTGTTATGCGTTTAAATATTAAACAAAAACCTCAGTTTTCGTAAATATTAAAAAATAAACAAATGATAGAACTGCTTCTTCATCGGAATCTCTAAGATAAAATAAAGAAAGGAAAACAGAACTCTCTAAACAGATAAAAGTTAATTTTAAAAAAAAGTGTATGGGCTTAGCTTTAAGATAAACCATCTTAATTTTAAGTCCCTTAAACGATCCAATTATAAATTATTTGAAGTTACCTGTAGTCTTTGAACAATCAACAAGATTTTGGGAACTAAGTGGAACCAATTTTCCAGTTTTTTTCTTATATTGAGCTTCTAATGATCCAACAGCTGAAAAAGCCCAGCATGCACCACAGAAACCCTAATAAATTGAAAAATAAAAAAAAAAATTCTTTTTAGAACAGCAGTTTCAGTTTTAACACACAAGTGGAAAATACTAATGATATTAAAGTACCTAAACAGCACAGTTAAAAATATTGTTTCATGCTCAACCGTAAAATCATTCGCATTTTTTTTAAACTTTGTACAACATTTCACAGCTACCTTGTTACGAAAAGTTAAAGAATGGTTACTTTTCAACTACTATTTATGAGCTTGACCAGAGTTCTTAGGTTAGGTATATGAACTTGGCAGAGGAATTCAGAATGGTTTAACTTACGGACGGTATAGCATCGGGGTTTTAAAAAAATGCTATGGTTTAACTTTACAGTTGTTTAGCTTTAATTTTAACCTTACAACTAGGCAATTTTTAATTTTCCAAAAAATGAAAATATGTCACCACTGTGGTAGAAATTTTCGATATTCTTTTTTAATTTTTGCGACAAATTACTTCAGAGGGATATCTAAAAGTTGCAAAAAGAAAATTGTAGCTTCATTGTTTAACGAATGATATTTTCATGCAATTTGAACTGTAACATAACTTGGGTTCATCGTGCCGATGCAAGAATCTAAATATTACTCAGCATGTCAGGTTAATAAAATTAGAAAATTTGATTATTTTTAAGTCCATTCTTTTGATATTTTAATTTAACTTAGAATGTTTAAACTTGGCTTAGTATGAAGGTTGCAAAAACGTTAGAGAATGTTACGATCTAATGTATAGAACATATGCATGAAAACACAACTCTGATCAAATTTGCCTGGTAACATTAGTCAGCTTGCCTTTTTACCAAAGTTGCCAACGACAAATTTAAGCGAAATTATGACTCAGCCAACTAATGTACCGATTCTATTCTTACCATACAATATTTTATCTAAGCACTTTATTGCGATTATAATAACTTAATATGCTTCTATCATTGATAGTTTAAGTCAAAGTGATAATTTTCTGCGAAGTTTAATATTGAATAAATTTTAACATTAAATGACAGATATATTTTAAAGTACAAAAAATAATTAAGATGGATAAGTAATCAAATATTTCTCATGAGTTGTTTTTCCTATGTAAGAATAAAGAGTCTACATTGTTTTCCTGGTGCAAATTTAATATTTATATTTAAGTATTTAATTTTTCTTAAGTAATCAAAATATTAAAAATTGAATTAAAAATATTTACTTGATTTTGTACAGGCGTTACATAGCCTTTTTCCCTCCAGTCAACATGTTTTGGATAATTTTCGTTTTCTTCTTCCTTTTCGACTTTTCTTTCTTTTTCCCTTTCTTCTGCTCTTTTAATAGTTTCGAAAAAAGTTTGTACGCTAGGAATTAGTATCAATCCATTAATACCCATGTATTCTTCTAGACCCTATAAAATTCAAACACATTAAATAATTAAAATACTGTATTGATTTTAAAATTCTGCTTGTGCACGCTATTTATGATGTTTTAGTTTAAATTCTCAATTTTTTATTAAACGTGAGAAGGAAAAAATTTATAATTCCAATAAAAGTGCAGTTTGAGATGGTCTTTTGATCAATTGATAGCCCTTTGACCTACACAGCCGATGGCAAATCTGTAGTTATATTGACCTAGTCAAGATTTTTTCAATTTCATTATTATTGTATATTTAACGAAATAATTTCATGCAACATTCGCTTTAACTAATAATTGTGATATATCTATACACCGAACAGCCATTACATTATGACCACCCTCCATCTATAACAATAGGCTCGCCCAGGTTTTCATGGTTTCTCGCCCAGGAACAATGTCGTCATGGAGCTCATTAGGACTCATAATCCTCACAGAACAATCCCTGACGTCTGTAAGCTACTTGAACATAGTTGCAGACCAGGTTCACTCATTCATGGCAACAGTTTGTCCTGCGGGGAATGGTGTTTACCAACAGGATAATGCACCATGTCATATGGGTCGAATCATCGAGGAACATTCCAGTTACTTTCAAGTCATGTCTTGGCCCCCAAATTCACCTGACCTTAATCCAATAGAGCATTTGTGGTCCTACTTGGAAAACCAAATTCGTGCTGCCACGCTACCCCNAACGTAGAAACAAGTAAATGTGACGCATAAAAAAAACGAAGAAATAAAAGCAGCTCATAAAAATGTCAGCCATGTACAAGAAGAAAAAACGCTTCGAGTAAAGTATAAAAGCTATGTCCAAAATACAATAAAATGTAAAATTAAACATAACTTTTTATGCGCAAGAAAAATAAATGCGTGAAGACCGGCGAAAAAATAACAAATAAAAAAAATATATATATATATATATATATATATATAGGTTAATTTTTCAATATATGATTCCCGTCATTAACTAAACCTACTTTTTAAATTATCAAAATTACGGTTTCCACATGGTATTCTGTAATAATACTCAAAATCCTCTTAAATATTAAATTTACACAAATATTTTCAGCATACTTGTAATCTAAAGGAATCTGTAGAAATAAATTTTTCCGTGGTTCACAAAAAAGCAAATTTGGGATTATGTTTCTGCACTATAAGAAATTCAAGATCACATTACTTCTAGAAGTATCAGCACTCAGGGAGCCAGTACTTTTTACCGTAAAGTCCATTTTCACCGGAACATATTACGGAGCAAAAAAAAATTTATATACCGTAATTTTTACAATAATAAATACAGTAAAATCACTGAATCACTCTAATTAAATAAATATTACTGTAAATATGTAAATATGGATTTTACGAATGATGCCACCTAACGTGCCGGTTCTTTATGCCGTAATTTTTTTGCAATGTACCTTCTGCAAAAATTTTTCTGTCTTATGACAAGAGTAAACTGGTTTCATTATGTGGAGAAAAATTCAAACTGAAAAATGACTTTCTAAATATAGGACAGTAATTGGGTTTTAGTTCAAAAACTCTATATTATTCTCTAGTGTTAATTAAGAGGCTAAACTACCTTTTTATATAATGCTCTATTTCAGAAAATACGAAAAAAACCGTTTTTATAAAAAGAAATAAAGTTATAAAAATAATTAACCCAACTTTTTTAATTACACTGAAAGTTTTAAAAAACTTTTTTAATTACATTAAGAGCTTTGTTCATAATATCTTACGGAATCAGAAAGATGATTTATTCCAAGTCTGAAATCATGTTCTCTTAAATCAGCTTCTAAGTTATGTCTTTGTACAAGTTTGACATTTTCCTCCCAGATTATTCGTCTTTCTTCTTCATCCATGTCTGATAAATATGTTTTGTTGTAAAGAGTCTAAATGTTAAAAAAAAGTAAAAATAAAACACTTCTATTCAAATTTATTATTTTTTTTAGTCCCATTAATACAAACAAAGTATTCATAATTACAAGTTCATATAAAATAACTGAAAATCCAAAAAGAGAAATATATTAAATATCTGATAGCATTTTCTTATTTAAAATAAACAAAGAAACATCTTTTTGAAACTTCAGTTTCGCGAATTTATCAATGAGTTTATTTTTATTTTTTATTTTTCTAAGACTTTCAGATTGAATAAATATCATAATATTGAATAAAAATCATAGATTTTTCAGATTAATTGCTAAATTATGATCGAAAATAAAAAGAATTAAAATTATCATTATTCTTATCAGAATTGAACTGTTGAATTTTAATTTTTCGATTTTTCCACAAATGACTACTAATAATTAATTACAGTTAGTTAAAACAAATTTAAGAGAGCAATAATTCTGAATTGGACAGAAAATTTTTTTAAATAAGTGAGATTTTTTTACCTTTAAATGTGACTTAATTTACAGTTATGACCAATTAATTAGCATTATATAGCTGGGCTCTCGATTTAAGATAATTCAAATGAGTTCTGAAAAATTTGATTATTAGAACAAGAGTTATTTAAAGTGGTTTATGATTTTGTATTTACTTATTATTCTTCCACTTAATTTTCTTCCCAAGTTATGTTTTCTAGTAGACCTTTGAAAAGAAAACAAATGTTGAAGTTTAAAACCTTTTTTTTTTTTGTATCAGGTTTATCCGACAACGTGAATTACTTATAATTATTTATTTAACTTTCATGTTTTCAGTGAATCAGGCGCTCTTAAAATTCACAAAATTCAAAGTCATTTGAGAGATTTTTACTGAAATTATTAAATATTTCCTGAATGTTTAGGAACTTTAAATCTATAATTGATAAATATTATAAACAAACAATACAAATGCAGAGTTTAAAATTAATTTTTGCATGATTGTATTTAATTATTGAAATTTATTTAAAAACAATTAAAAGGAAAATATATGAATATTTATTTTCAGAATACTCTTTAGAAATTAGTGTTTGAAAGTAATTAATCATTATAAACCAGATAAACTTATTTCAACAAGCATAATAAACTCAAATTCATACACCTGAAGAGCTAAAATCATGCATAAAAAACGTTAAAAATTAATTTCAAATAAAATTTTTTGTGTTGCAACTCACCTTATAAATTTGCCATTTATCGTCTAATTCAGGTTCAATCGGTGCAGCCCATGCTATAGCACATATTACCAAAATACACCATACTTGAAACATTTTAGATACTTTCTTTTCAATCCTTTTAAATTATGTAAAAATAACGTACAAAAAATTTAAAAAAGTAAATTTCTCGATGAATACTAATTCGCAAAGTTGCGAAATCAGTTTAAAAATGTATAACGGAAAAGAACTCGGGAAAAAAATTCCGACTTTTCTCCCATTAACAATTTAAACTGATTCGCAACAAATACGACCATTCTCATCAAGCGTATCATATTTATAGTCTCCAAGTAAAATGGAAATTTTTTAATGAATGAATCATGATGAATATAAAAAAATGTGTGGATGATTATATGAATTACATCTAAGACTTATTTTGGCATATTTGAAACTATGGCTATTGCCATAATTTGATGATAAATGCGCAAAACATGAATTAGATGCCTACTAAGTTGAATGATTCAGCTGATTTTCGGATTGTTTTGTGACGCTAGTATTGACGACAACGAATAATGTTTTACCATTGTCAAGGTAATAAAACGTTATGCACATTCAGCATCACTCAACACTGAATAAAATTTAAAACAAAAATTGCTGCTTCATTAAGAAGAAGCATGTTAGTCATATTTAAAAAAGCATGTGATAATCTTAAATGCACGTGAGAAGCATTCCATTCATTGCAAGCATTATTTAAACATTATGTTTAAAAAAATATTTTCAATACAAATTTCTGAAAACTTTGAATGGCTATAATTATCAAATAATAATAAAATTAACCAAATATAGACTAATAAAGATATATTTAACTGAAGTGAATATTTGAAAAATGTATATTTATAGGGTTAAGTGGGGTAATTGTGACCAGAAAATACTTATAAATGCTTATAAGAACTTTGAAAAATAATTTTTATCAAGTTTAAAGTGTATATTTTACTTCGGGAACCTTTAAATAGTTTTCAGATAAATATTTTGTGTCAATATATAAATCGTTTAAAAAAATCATCTAAATTTTTGAAAAACAGTTTCAGCGCATGTTGATTCAAATTGATTTCAGTCGTCGAAGAAAATTTTGTGGTAAATGTCAATCGATTTATAACTAAGCGCGATTACGTTTTCTTCCACTTTTGATTATTAATTTCTGCTTGCATTAAAGTCTATTACCTAGGAGTATATGATCATAATTACTCCATTTTTTTACCAGTACGGGGTAATTATAAACATATTTCATGTTAATTCATAATTGGTGACATTTTGAAGTAGGAAATTGAACGAAGAATAGAAACTTGGCTGATTTTTATTTACAAAAACTAAGTTTAGTCATCCTGGTGAAAGGCAAGAACTTTTGCCTCTTGTTGGATTTTATGCTAAAGAAAACTCTATTTTTAAGGATGATAAACCAAACCTACTCTATAGACTTTATAAAAAGACACCTTTATTATCCTTGAAATAAGTCAAGCATCATTAGTCAATACGCCTACTTATCACAATTTAGAAATTATATTAGGATTTTTTCGAAAATTTAAAATTAGTTATGAAGAGGAAAAAAAACAGACAACATCAGATAAAACCTTCTATCACAATCCCTACCCGTGTGAGTGGAATATTGGCCCACAAAATATGTAACTCTGATTGGCGAGCAAAATATGGGATGTAGTAAGTCAAAAGGTTTTAAGAAAATGTAGGTTTGTTCTAAGAAAATGAAAATACGTTTATGCGTCTGATATTAGAACTTAAAATGTTGCCTGCACTTTCACAATTAGTACAGTAAAGGTCAATTATCTGAATGATTTAATTTACACAGTAAGAAGAATGAGAAAATTCGATTATCAGACCAAAAGTTAATCAAGCATTTCTTTGATCGGTATTCGTCCCCACTACCATAAACTCTGATGTTATACGAAAAACAACAACACAACAGTATTCTATATGCATAATTACTAAAGTAATTCGAAAAAGTCCCGCAATGAACTGATCGTAAAGACACGGTTCTGAATAAAATACTGAAGCCAAGCATCGCTGGGTGTGGTCAGTAAGCGGGTGGGTGACTACTTTGATCAGCCTGCGTAGAGGCCAAGGGGGAGCTGTATAGGTCCTCGTTAAGCTGTTCTGATGTGAGTGCTCGACTTCGCACCCAAGTCACCGGGGAACCAAAGCGGAGGAGTCATCCCCTCTGCAGAGGATCACAAATGTGATGGCATGTCTTTGGATCATCCTCATTGATGTTCCCCAGCCATCACCATAATAGCCCATTGTGCAGCTCTAATGCGACGTGAATAATGTACCTAACTACTTTATTTGTAAAACTAATATTGATTACTATTCTTCTTGGCACTTCGTATATCTTCGAATATATTACATTATAAATCACAAACCTTTGACTGACTCCATAAACCTCCTTATTACTTTTTTGATTATTCTCTGACCAGGTGATAGTAAAAATTTCAGAGATAACATGTGTCAGAATAATAATAATTAAATATTAAAAATATTTTAAAGTTTTCCATACTGACCTTATTTGTTTTATACCTTGTTTTATACATGAAAATGTTTTCTACACCTTGACCAGAAAATAAGCCTGTTAATCTTTATTGAAAAATATGAGTGATCATATGATTTTGATGTATCTGAAGCCACCCAGCAATCTGTTCAGTTTTTTGTAGAAATTTAATACAAAAATCTCCCTTCTAAAATTACCAATGGCTTTTATCTATGTCTATATGAAGCTATTGAAACATTGATTAGAAATTAAGTTACCATTGAAATATATCTGCTATATATATTGTAAGTACATATTGCGTAATTCCAATCATATAAATCATAAATTTCCCCTACAAAAGTAGTTTTATAAAATATCACGCTTGAAATTTTGTGAATCTTTAATCAACATCTTTGGCAAGTATTCATATTTTAGTTTCCATGCCTCAAATTTCATTCATTAAATTTATGCATAACTTCTTGCACGTGAGTCAGACAAGAAACTGACATTCATATCTTTCAAAAGTGACTATATCAGCCGGAAGAAAAAGAATGGTTTTTATTTGCTAATGAGGAATTCATTTTGTTGTGCTGCATTTTTATTCTCGCTTCATGATACTGCAATAAATGATGAACCACGTGTAGATAGAAAGTCTACATAACCGGGGTGGAAAAATAGTTGTTAGATGCTTTATTAAATATTACGCAAGCTAACCCATAATTTGTTGCTTATCTATTTATATTGTTTATTTATACATTTAGTTAATAAATAATTATGCAGTATATTTTGATCGTTCTATTGTATGGTAGTTTTAAGTATGAAAATAATTAATTTAGACTGTTAGAAACTTCATTTTGCTCCTTACCTTCTTTCGATGAAATGGTTTTGGTTTCTTTACGTCTTTTCTTCCTTATTTAGTTCAACCCCGTTTGATATTATTGCTCTAATTCAATCGACGTATAATCTGCCGTTTTTCCAAGCTCTGCATTTGGAAATTTAAAGCAACTAAATTATTTATAGTTTCCTGAAAGTATAAGAAAGAAAGTTGTAATAAAAAAAAACCCGCCAACTGAGTGGTGCGAATTATTTCGTTTTTCAATCAAAAAAATATATACATTAAAGCGATAAAAAATTTTGCCTAAAACAGAACTTTTAAAGCTTACATTTCCGTAAAGTATTGAAAAACGTTTTGCTCAAAACTTTATACACAGTTAAAATTTTCATTCTAAAATTATGGTAAAATAACTGGCAACTGTCTGTCCATCCGATTAACAGTAAAGTTTACGGTAAAGAACATTTTTTTCTTTATGGTTTTGAAACCATTTAAAAAAAGTATGGTTATAAAACTATGAATACAAAACTATACGGTTTTTTTTAACCATTTACAACTAGCATTTTTCAAAAACGTAAAAAAAAAATTTATTATTTAACTAGACATAGGAGCTCGGCTTTTCGTAAGGTAACGGGCATTGGAGAGTGCCGTACACTGGAAATTCTTCATCTGTTGAAAAGAATGAAAGTAGCATTGTGGTGTCAACACTAGGACTCAAACTCCAGTTCTGCCGGTCATGAGTTTGACAGATTAGCCCGCTGGGCTATGACATATATACAGGTGCAAAGAACTAAGTAGCTTCATTAGGTGGTTCTAGCTGGTGCGATAAAATTCTGGTTGTTTAACCGTATTAGGTGAAAGCAGTCAATATACAGTTCTTCTCAAACTTAACAGTTTGATTACCATTTTATTTATGGTTATTTGACTGTTTTGATTAAATATGGTAAAATAAGCATTCAATAAATTTTTAATTAACCATTTTTTCGAGAAATTTCTAACAGTGTATGTAATTTTCCTAAAGTTTTTAAAAGCAGAAAACATTTCGGAAAGAATAGGCTGGGAAAATAAAGTAAAAAAAGCGCATTTAATTGAATAAGCTTATCTTTTTTATTCATATTAGCTATCTTCAAAATATTTATAAAAAAAAGACAATTGATTTTGGAATTTTAATTAAACTGATCCTGACTTACTTTCTAAGATAATATTTATCATTCAGGTGACAACTTTTGTGACAAATAAATAAAAGACAAGAGATTATCAAATTGCGTAAGTGTTTCTAAATATAAACTATCGGTTTACTCAAAATCATAACACATTTGTCATAGTAGGATTAGGTGATTCATATGCATCTATTAAGAAATAGTTCCAACTCTAAAAATTTCTAAATAATTGATAAAGCGTTTTTGTTAGAACTTAGAATTTCTAATGAAAGCTAAAAAAGTATAACACTGAAAATGAGTAAAAATCGAATATTGTCTTGAGCACTTAACAAACTGGAGAAAATATAAAGTGGAAGCACTAGCCATGCAATAGAAACTATAGATTTCGAGAAAAGCTGTTTGACAACTGTGTGCTTTCCTTTGCTGTCAATGCTAAAATTAAATTTCAGAAAACTGATAATAAAATAAATTTTTGAAAAAAAAAACTTTTTGCAAGATTTAGCTTAGCATAAAAAAGGCCAAATATGCAAAAAAGCTCAATTTCGATTTTTTTTTTTTTTTTTTTTTTTTTTTTTTTTTTTTTGTCGCTAACGTTGATTTTTCTATTGCATGCCAGAGCTTGCTTGTTCATTTTTCCACGCGAAGTGAAATGAAGAATGCTGGAGCTGCTAATTAGAAGACATACAGCTTTCACTGGCAATTATGCAATTTGCCCTTGTTGCTAGTGCAAGTAAATGAAAGCCAGATTAAAGTTTTTAACAGTATTGAAGTAAAAAA